TTAACCGCATTGTTATATTAGCCGCAAGGTCGAAAAATGAGGAAAAAGTCGCGGCTTATAGTCCGAAAATTACGATAATTGAAAGGTGTGTTTAGGCTGGGAGGAGAGAACTTAGAGTGTAAACGTTTCATTTGGATCCTCAGGATGTCCACCAGAGTCCTCCTGGCCACTCTGTCTATCCCCATCACCCCTGAGCGTACCGACATCGCTCGGCTGCTGGACATGGACGGCATCATCGTGGAGAAACACCGCAGGCTGGCCACCCTGCTGGGCCTGCAGTCTCCTCCAACTCGCCAGAGTCTCATCAATGACATGGTACACACTATTTTAGAGCTGACATTTTCTTCTACTTGCTAAAATAAAACCTGAATTTCTTTTTAAAAATGCATGTTTGATTGTTTCCCCCTTAAGGTGAGATTTAACCTGCTGCAGTACATCGTGCCCGAGGTGAAGGAGCTTTACAACTGGCTGGAGGTCGACTTCCATCCTCTCAAGCTGAGTGGAAGAGTGACAAAGGTAGATTATTACAACAACAAGCCATTTCTCATTTCTAAGTGAAGTTAAGCATCTTTATAAATATTGAGACATTTTCAGCTGTTACATCTGTTCATTCTTATAACTCAGCTTATGAAAACTTATGTGAAATAAATTTGGATGCATGAACTCTGACCTATTGAGGTAAACTGACTCAGTCTGGGTTCCCTGCCTGTTCTTCCAGACTCTTGGACTTTCATTCTTAGATAAAATGCTATAATTAATCAGGTCTTGAATAAATAATAGTTAATATTCACTGTAAAGGCAGTCATTTTTTTATTTCCTGTTAGGTGTTGAACTGGGTGAGAGATCAGGCTGAGAAAGAAGCTGATCTGCAGCAGTATGTCCCACACCTGCAGAGTAACACCATCCTTAGACTCCTGCAGCAGGTAAATCCTCTTCCTCTTAACTTTTCCCTAAAAATACTAAAACCTGATGATAACTGGTTTTTGTTTGTGGGGAATTTTAGGTTGCCCAGATCTATCAAAGCATTGAGTTTAGCCGTTTGGCCTCCCTGGTTCCGTTTGTGGACGCCTTCCAGCTGGAGCGCTCCATTGTTGATGCTGCACGCCACTGTGATCTGCAGGTAACCATGCAACGAAGTCCATCTCTCTCATGCTTTTAAGTAATTTTGCACAGCTAGTCTTAAACTTTTTGTTAATGTTTCTTCTAGGTTCGAATCGACCACACGTCTCGAACCCTGAGCTTCGGTTCCGACCTGAACTATTCCACCAAAGAGGATTCTCCGGTTGGTCCGTTCCTGCAGAACATGCCGTCTGAGCAGATAAGGAACCAGCTGACCGCCATGTCTGCCTCTTTAGCTAAAGCCATCCAGGTCATCAAACCTGCAACCAACCT